ACTCAATGTGTCCCTTTCACGTCGATGTTTCTCTCTCTCTCTCTTCCTCCCACTCTATCTCAACAAAATATTGAGAAATATCCTTGCTGAGGATTAAAAAAAAAATCTGTTATTCAGGTTGGGAACGTTTTAAAGAATGATGCAAGCATGTGGGGAAATAGGATCTCTCATCTACTTTGGATGAGATAGTAATTTTGGTTGTGCATTTTTGGAAAATAACTTGGTAATACTTATTTAACTTAAAAACAGGCATACCCAATGACCCAACCATTCCACTTCTATATCTTACTAAAGATTCCACAAGTGCACAAAGATACACAAGAATGTTTAGTTCAGCATTGTTTATAATAGCAAAAATACTGGCACAACCTACATGTCTATCAAGAGAGGACTGGTTAAATTTTTCATGGTAGTGCACATTTTGGAACACTACGCAGCCATTAAAAAATAACACATGAGGGAAACCCAGAAATGATTGCTGTGGACTTCCGGTCAAGATGGCGGGTAGGTAAACGCGGTATTGCATTCTCCCACAACCACATCAAAGTTACAACTAAACTACAGAACAACCATCATTCAAAACCGCCTGAAATCAAGCTGAATGGAAGTCCTACAACTACGGAATTAAAAAAAAAAAGCAGCCACATCCAGACTGGTAGGAGGGGCGGCGGCGCGGTGGCGCGACGGGCTGGTCCCACACCCACGTGTGGCGGATAAAAATCAGGAGGCTCCCGTGGCTGGGAAGGTCCTTCCTGAGGACTGAGGGGTCCCCGTCCCACACCAGGTGCCCCGCTCAGGGTTCCAGTGCCAGGAAGAGAAGTCCCATAACTTCTGGCTGGAAAAACCAGCAGAAACTGAGGCTCAGGGAAGCTGAAGCAGCTGGAGCCCCAGGCAGCTCCCTAAAGGGCCCGCGCGCGGACTTATCGGACTCTCTCCCTCTAAGCTCGGAGGGGAGGCAGCTCGAGGGGCGTCCACGGGGACAAACGTGCTGTAAGAGGCCTTTGTTCCTTTGGTGAGCCCTTCCCGGGGGCGGCAGACAGAAGCCATAACTGGGACCCCAGCAACCTGGCTCACACTGGTAGCCCCGCCCTGCTGACTCTCTGAGGCCCCGCCCCGCCCCACACAACTTTCAGGCCCACCCAAGCTGTTGCCACTTGCTTAACCATAGGATTGGCCGGTCTTGGATCCTGCTTCAAGTTTTTCCTAAATTCTTTCTAATGAGCAGCATCGGGTCTCAGCGAGCCCCATACCTCTCATTAAGTAATACACAGAAACAAACACAGGGAGGCAGCCAAAATGAGGAGACAAAGAAACAGGTCCCAAATGAAAGAACAGAACAAAACCCCAATAAAAGAACTAAGCGAAAGGGAGATAAGCAACCTAACAGATACTGAGTTCAAAATACTGCTTATAAGGATGCTCATTGAACTTAGTGAGAATCTCAGTGAACTTAGGGAGGGCCTCAAGAGCGTAAAAAAGGACCAGTTAGAAATCATGGATACACAGTTAGAATTGAAGGAGGCATTAACTGAAATAAAGAATAATTTACACAGCTTCAATAATAGAGTATGTAAATCCAAGGAGCAAACCATCGATTTGGAATATAAAGAAGCAAAAAATCCCCAATCAGAACAGCAAAAAGAAAAAAGAATCCAAAAAAATGAGGATAGTGTAAGGAGCCTCTGGGACAACTTCAAGCGTGCCAACATTCACATCTTGGGGGTGCCCGAAGGAGAAGAGAGAGAACAAGAAATCGAAAACCTGTTTGAAACAATAATGGCAGAAAACTTTCCTAACTTGGTGAAGGAAACAGACATATAAGTCCAGGAAGCACAAGAGAGTCAAAACAAGATGAACCCCAAGAGGCACACACCAAGACACATCATCATCAAAATGCAAAAGGTTCAAGACAAAGAGAGAATCTTAAAAGCAGCAAGAGAAAGGCAGCTAGTTACCTACAAGGGAGTTCCCATTAGGCTGTCAGCTGATTTCTCAAAAGAAACTTTGCAGGCAGAAGGGAGTGGCAAGAAATATTCAGAGTGATGAAAACCAAGAACCTACAACCAAGATTACTCTATCCTGCAAAGCTGTCATTTAGAATCGATGGACATATAAAAACTTTCCCAGACAAGAAAAAGTTAAAGGAGTTCATCACTACCAAACCATTATTATATGAAATGATGAAGGGTCTTTTTGAGGAAAAAGATAAAATGTATGAACAAACAAAATGGCAATGCATACATATCTATCAACAATGGAATCTACAAACAAAATGAACAGGTAGAACAGAAACATTCTCATAGATACAGAGAACATTTTGTTGGTTGCCAGTTGGGAAGGGGGTTGGGGGAATGGGTGAAAAAGGTGAAGGGATTAAGAAGCACAAATTCATTGCTAGACTGAGAAACCTCAAAGGGAAAGGGGGTTGGGGGGGGTGGGAAGAAATAAACCAAAGAACTTATATGCATAACCAATGGACACAGACAATAGTGTGGGAAAAGGTGGGAGGGGGCGGGAGTGGGGAGGAGGGGGTCAATGGGGGAAAAATGTGGAACATCTGTAATACATTTTACATCCAACAATAAAGATTTGAAAAAAAAAAAAAAAATAACACATGGCTGTGAGTAACAACAAGAAGATACGTCCAAGATGTATCATGAATAAAAATGTTGTAGTACAAAAGGGATAAATAGTGTGACCCCCATTTTTAATTAAGCAAACAAATAAATAAAAACATAAGAAATTTACTACACCCTCACCAAAATGCAATTTAGGGTAGCTGGAGTTCCACTTTCTACTTTATACATTTCTCTATAGTCTAAAAATTCTATTTCATAATGAGTAGTACAGTTTATGTAATTCAAAAATAAAAATATTTTAGTACCTGCCCTGGCCAGTTTGGCTCAGTGGTTAAAGCGTCGACCTGCGGTCCAGAGAGACCCGGGTTCGGTTCCCGCTAAGGGCACGTACTTCGGTTGCAGTTTGTCCCCGGCCCTGGTTGGTCGTGCGGGTGGCAGCCACTCAATGTGTCCCTTCACGTCGATGTTTTTCTCTCTCTCTCCCTTCCTCTCTCTCCCTCCCACTCTATCTGTATAAAAAATGGAAAAATATCCTCGGGTGAGGATTAAAAAAAAAAAAAAAAAAAAAAATTTTAGTACCTAATAATCCTAAAACCACCTCTAAGATATATCTTTAGTTACTTAGAAAGAAAAAGGTTTTTCACCCTTTTTTGTGATTTTTAAAATCTCAGGCAGGATACATTCTCACTCATAAACTCTTCTCCAGGTATTCCACCCACCAGTAACCAGAGTAGGCCAAAACAGTCATGACAAGCCAATTGTACACAAATTCTTTCAGAGATAAATTAAAGAGGAAATGTGTCTTAACTTGATTTTATAAGGCCAGCGTAACTCTGATATCAAAATCTGACAAGCAAAAAGAAAATTCCAGGCCAATCTTACTTAAGGATATTGATATAAAAATCCTAAGCAAAATATGAGCAAACCAAATTTGGCAATATATACAGAGAAGGAATGCAGTTTAATATTTAAGAAATCAATGTGATTCACCACATTAGTAATTAAAGGGAAAAGCATATAATTACCTAATTATATCATTATATAGAGAAAAAACATTTCTTTTTTTTATCCTCACCCGAGGACATTTTTCCTTTTTAGTTCTGGTAGAGTGGGAGGGAGAGACAGGAACAGAGAGAGAGAGAGAGAGAGAGAAAAACATGATGTGAAAGGGACACATCGAGTGGCTGCCACCCGCACGACCAACCAGGGCCGGGGACAAACTGCAACCGAGGTACGCGCCCTTAGCGGGAACCAACGCGGGCCTCTCAGGACTGCAGGTCGACGCTCTAACCGCTGAGCCAAACCGGCCAGGGCGAGAAAAAACATTTCTTACATGAAAATTAACTTCTCGAAATAAAAAATTTTGGCAAACAAGAATAGAAGGAAATTTTGTAAATCTGATAAGTGATATCTACAAAAAGCCTATAGCAAACATCACAAACTTAACAGTGAAATGTTGAAAGCACAGCCTCTGAGACTAGGAGCAAGGCAAGACTGTCTGCCATCTCCATAGTTATACAACATTATACTGGGGTCCCAGCCAGTGTGACAAGGCAAGAAAAAGAAACAAAAGTAAAAGACTAGAATGGAAACACACATACACACACACACGACACTCATTATTCAAATGATATCATTAATGTACAAAGTCCCCCAAAATTCAGAAATATTAGAATTAAAATGTGAGTTGAGCAAGTTTATTGCATACAAAGTCAGTATATGAAAATCAACTGTGTTTCTATATAACAGAAACCCTTAGAAAATGAAGTTTTTTAAAAAGATGCTATTTATAATAGTATCATTGAAATATAAAATATCTAGGAATAATCTAATAAAAGAAAAAACCTCTACTAAGAAGATTAAAAATATTACTGAGTAGAATTAAAGAGGATATACCATATTCATGTTTTGGAAGAGTCAATGTTATAAAGGTATCAGTTATCTCCTAAATTATTGATATGTATTTAATATAATTCCAATAAAAACCCCAGTAGACTTTTCTGTGTGTGTGTAAAATGTAAAGTAATTTCTAGAATTTGTATGAAAATGAGCCCTGGTGGGTTTGGCTCAGCAGCTGGAGGTTCAGCCTGTGGACCAAAGAATCACAGGTTTGATTCCCATCAAGGGCACGTAATTCAGTTGTGATTTGGTCCCCAGCCCTGGTCAGGATCATGCAGGAGGCAGCCAATTGATGTGTCTCTCTCACACTGATGTTTCTCTCTCTTCCTCCTCCAACCCACTCTATCTGAAAACGAATGGGAAAAAAATATCCTCAGGTGAGGATTTAAAAAAAGAAGTTTTAAAAATATTGATGGAAATAATACAAAATAAAAAATACATATTTTAAATACCATTACTTTTCCATTTGAGAATATAAGTAGGGTTGGTTTCACTTAGCTCATGTTTCAAAATGCAGCTTACCTGCGCCCTAAGCACTGTCATGGTTTCCAGGTCCTCCTCCTGCTTGGCAATTGTCTGCTTCATCTCATCCATTTGAAGCTGCTTGGAAGCCAGGGCTTTCTCTGCCAGTTCCAATTTTTCATTTAGTTCCTGCAGCACTACCTTATCCTCTTTTTCTGACTGTAAAACACAAGTTTATTCTAGAAATGAGCTTCAAATAATTCAATCTATTTTAGTAAAATATTAAAGTTTTATTTTTTTTAAATGATTGTCTCTAAGCTGTTTTGTTAATAAGCAATGATAACTTACTTGAAAAGTTGTATTCACTTAACTTATGGCTTGCAAATAATACTTTCCCAATTTAAAATAATAATAATAATAAAAGAAAACACTAAAATAAGGGAAATTATAACTAATCCCGATCTCAGTGAGGTTGTAACTTGTTAATACTGCTACTTTTTCATTCATATCACTCTTACTTTGTGAAGTCAGTGGAAAAAGGAAAACTGTTTAAATTAAAAATGTGCTAGGTCTTGGAGAGGAACAATAATCTATTAAAAAATAAATGAAAAACAAAAAGTATATTTATAAGGATATAAACTCAAAGACGCCTTCTAATTCAAAGCGTCCATCATCTTTATTTATTCCAACTTTACTTAAGTAAAAGTGACAAATAAAATTGTAAGCTATTTAAAATGTACAGCATGATGATTTGATATATGTACATTGTGAAAGGATTCCTCCCATCAGTTTAGTTAACACATTTGTCACCTCACATATCTATCTCTGGTATTACAATGACCATACCATGCATGGCATTATTACTAATTTAAGTTGCAGCCCAATAAGTCTAGGGTCTCAAGTTCAGACAACAGGCAAGCTAGCCTTGTAATAGTTCCATTCAGTAGATGGCCTCCCCAGCCCCAGCCAGCAGTCTTACTATGCACAGAGGAGCCCACGCTCTTAGTCCTCCTACAAACCCACCCACCGTGATAAATGCTGGAAGTTTACTTTCTGACTGTAGGACATCGGTGCTACCTTTGTTCACAAAGCACATTACACAGGCATACCTCGTTTTATTGCACTTGGCTTTACTGTGCTTTGTAAATACTGTGTTTTTCACAAATTGAGCCAGCAAAGAAATTATAACTTGTTAAAGGCTCAGAAGATGGTTAGCATTTTTTAGTAATAAAGTATTTTTTAAATTAAAGTATATACATTTTTAAAAACATAATGCTACTGTACACTTAAACTACAGTGTAAACGTAACTTTTATATACCCTTGGAAACTAAAAAATTCAAGTGACTTGCTTTATTGCAGTAGTCTGAAACTGAACCAAAAATATCTCTGAGGTATGCTTGTACACACATAGAACATCAGAAGTTATAAGCACTTAGCACAAGAAATCAATTATAAACTGAATACCTTTGAAACCAGACTTAAAGACCAACACAACTATTTTACATATAAAATGTTCAATAATTTCCGTCCTTACTAGGCTATCAAGGTAATATTTTTCTATGAGTACCTCTTTTTGTTTTAGTTCTTCAATTGTTTTCAATGCATTACTGTATTCTTGAAGAAGCCTGTTGTGTGTGAACTGTAGAGTGGCTAATTTGGACCTGTTTAAAAAGAAATTGAGAAATGGAATCTTGGAGAAAATATCATAGTAACTTACAGTCTTGCCTCCCAACATTCTTCTGAACACTCAAAAGTAGCAAAATCTTTTCTCCTACTTTAAAAAAAAAGAAAAAAATGTGTTTGTTTTATTCCTCACCTGAGGATATTTTTCTACTTATTATCAGATAGAGTGGGAGGGAGGAAGAGAGAGAGAGACAGAGAGAAACATTGATGTGATAGAGCCACATTGACTGGTTGCCTCCCATAGGACCCAACCAGGGCCAGGGACGAACCACAACCAAGGTATGTGCCCCTGACCAGAATCAAACCTGCAACTCATTGGTTGGCGGGCGGACGCTCTAACCACTTAGCAAACTGGCCAGGGCAAAATGTTTGTTTTTTAAATCCTCACTGGAGGATATTTTCCCACTTATTTTCAGCTAGAGTGGTAGGGAAAGGAGGAGAGAGAGAGAGAGAAACATCAGTGTGAGAGAGACACACCGATTGGTTGCCTCCCTCAAACCCAAGACTGTTTGGTCTGCAGGCTGATGCTCTAACAACCACTGAGCCAAACTGGCCAGGGCAAGAAAAAAATGTTTTTATTGATTTTTTTTTTAAGAGTGAGAAACATCAATTGATTGCCTCCAACACCCACCCCAACCAGGGACCAAACCTGAAACTGACTGGGAATTGACCTGGCAACCTTTTGGTGCACAGGACAGTGCTCAACCAACTGAGCCACACCAGCAAGGACTCTTTTCTCCTACTTTTACCATCCTACCACCTACAAGCATTTTCTTACTTGCAAAGAAAACAGTTTTTTCCAAAAAAGTCAAAATAAGATTACAAAGTAATTTTCATAATTTTGTTACACTAAAAGTTAAATTTTATCTCCTTAGAAAAGTCTCCCAGTACGCCTTCAAATGAGAAGAAATTTAAATGTATTCTCAAAGTCTAATTCCAATCTGTATAAAAGCTATTCTATTTTCTTTTCTTGGGTAGCATTCAGTCACAGCATACTCACTTTTCCTCTTCTGTTTTTCCTTGCTCCAGTTTGATTTCTGATCGCATGCTTTCCACTTGTAGCTCTAACTTTTTGTTATTATAAACAAGCTCTTGCTTTTCATTCAGCTCTGATGGGACTGCAGAATTTTTTCTTTCAAGGTCCTGACATCTATGAAAGATAAAAATAGCATGAGGATAAACAAGGCTCCTTCATTTTTCAGTGGTTTTTAAACAAATCCCAAGATTATGTAGCAAATATAAAGAATTTGGGGATTGCATTTTTCGAGGATTTAACTGTATAAAATAAAATATTTTATCCTCCTTGCTTCTTTACTAGAAGCAAGTAGTATTTCTGAACCCTTATGCCTACACATAAAAAAAATACAGGTTTTTAAAAATTTACGAATTTCTAAACCCTAATATTAAAAAGCACAGATAGAAGATCACTCAAACTACTGCCCACATGGAATAATCGTTTTAAGTAGTCATGAAAATATATTTATGTTGTTTAGTCACAGACTAGAGTAGTAAATTGGCTAAAGATGCCTCTCTTACAGTGATCCATGGATATCTTTTGTATTTTAAAAAGTGATGGGTTCTGTTAAGCACAAAGACTGTGACTTCTGACAAAGATTCAACAGGGGAAAAGGAAGTACCCTAAGTCCTCTTAAAGGTCAGAAAAAGAATTTCAATATAATAATAGCAAATATGAACCAGTGAAGTTATGTGCAAGGCATCAATGCCAAGCATGTTAAACATGATCTCGTTTACCATGACATAGGAATTATGATACACATTTTACAAATAATAAAACTAAAGCTCAGAAAGGTTAAAGTTATTTAACTTGCCCAAGGTTAATACCACAAATAAGTTGCAGATTTGTATTTTAACCTAGGTCTGTTTGGCCAAAATCCTTAGCTGTAACTGCCATGCTTAGAAAGTGTAACTCCAAGGAAACGTGTGTGTGTTATGCTGGAAATATGTTTGCCAACTAAGCCAAAAGAACATCAACTCAGCTTTCTTAAATTTTGGGGTAACTTCTTACATCAAGAGAAACCAGCAAATGCAAAATTCTCAATTTATATATTAGCCTTTATAACTAATTGAAATTTTTTTCTAAATAAATCTCACTCAAGTTCTTCTTGCTACTTGCAGCTTTCTCTTATGTTTGTTCACATTAATGCTGTCAGCTCAGGTGAGTCGCAAGAAATCCAGCTCACTGCTTTTTCAGGGCCTCACACAGGCCCGTATGCTTAACAAATGCCCCCAAACAGCAGAATCAGAGTGCCCAGGGCCCCATTCCCCCCTATTACTACAAGTATTTCATGTTTGTATATTAACCTGTACGTTAACCCAAACATTAGTATTTTCTGAATTCATATTTTAATTAGGTCTCTATTTTTCTTTTGGTCAATAACACAGTAACAAAACTATGTTTTTATGTAGTAATATATTTTATTAAAATGTACACTTTTTGAAGGAAGATAACATTCCTCTCATTCTTACTTTTCTTGAAGTCGCTTCTTCATTAGCTCAGCTTCACTGAGTTTCGTATGAGCCTCTTGAAGCTCCTTAAACAGGGTTGTCACCTGAAGTTTCAAGGCTTCCACTTCACTTCCAACCTGTCACCCAGGAAATCCCAAACATACATATGTGATCCACATCAGAGATTAAATGCACCTCTTTGTGAGGAAACAGTGTGAACCATTAGTGTCCAGTTAAGACTGACTGGTAAATTGATTAAACTTTTGACAATGAATGCCCCAAATATCTTGTATGAAGAAAAATGTTTTGGATATAACTCTGTTTCCTTATAGAGCATTAACAGATGAATTGGGATGCACTTGTGATAATAATGTGATCAAAATTAAAATGAATCCCAACCATGGTTCAGGGGCGCACAGATTACAGCGGTTGCAAAGCACAGTCTAATTTATCCAGATAGCAACTCAAACCCATATTCCTGGCTAATTTATGTTTCTAGTTTACTCAACTATTTCCTCTGTACCACCTTTCTCCTGGTAGCTCTAGAATTTTTGTCAATGAGTTTTATGGTGCTTTGGAAGTCCCAGTATTTCTTTCTCTATTATTGGTTGTCTAATTAGTCAATTGGGTATTATTATTCACAGGTTGTCTCTTCATCTCAGTTTTTAAAATATTCTCCATTTCCTGGAAAATAGGGGTCTTAGCCCTGAGCATGGCATACAGTAGGCATTCAGTATATATTTGTTAAATAAATGAATTAGCTAAATTGCATGGGCTGTTGTGGCTCTTACCACTTCCCGGCTTCATCAACTTTCTCTAGGTTTAAGACAATATTTGCAGATTCTAAGACAGTCAATGAGTTCCCATGAAACAATGCCTATATAAGCACGAACCTTTCTCATTTAAACTGCTTTATTCAAATCAGTAGTGAGATAGAACCAAGATTTTTCACTTCTATTCAAGTTTCTGAGCCATATCCTTAAATGATCTCATTATAAAGTAGGCAATATTTTCTCACTTAGCAGGCTTTCTCACTTAGAAGGCTTGTTCACTTAGCAATTTAGGAGAGGAAATCAGTCAAGAAGAGGTAGAAGAGTGATTTCCTACAATCACTATGATAGGAATACATCTCACTACAACTTACAATGAATGAAATTCAAATCAGAACAAGGGAATATAACAGAAAAAGAAAATATTCAACATTACAATGATTTCTATATTTCTAAAGCTAATAATACATCACAAGATTCGACTCCAGGTTCTGTATTACTCTTACATCCATCATGGATGTGAAAGCAGTCTTACAATCTTAGTACCCACCGTTTCTGTGTCTTTCTCCTTTTCTTCCTCCTTTTCTGTGCTCCCCTCTGTCTGGGTCTCAATCTCAGAATGATCATTGGCTTTCTTTTCAAAATCTGAAATTCTAAAAAATTATAGAATAGAGAAAATTTACTTTGTCTTTGGATTCAAAAGGAATAACAATTGCAGAAGCACCAAAAAGAACATTTTTCAAAATTTGGGTAAAGGATCAGGGGTCTTCAAAATCTCTTTGCTTTCAATGTAATGGCTTTGGTTGAGCTTTCATCCTAAAATTGGCTAGAACTTATTTAAGAGATGAATGCACACAGCGGAAAAGGTATAACTCATCCTGAAGACTGAAAAACACTGACTCTTTCATGTCACTGACATAAACAGAAATGTTTTTTAAATTTGTGTTTGTGTCTGTACACATGTGCATGCTTGTGTGTTACATGAGTGTTTGTGTCCTTTATAAAGATTCAGCAGAGAAGGAAAGACTTTTCCTTTTTGGACCTATCTAAGTTTACAAGTCCCTAAAAACAAACAAATGCGGCAATATCCTTCCAATGAATCATAATCAAATGAAAGCTATCCCAATAAAAATGAAACAGAGACTTGTGGTTAAATATGGTAGATTTCTCCCACTCCAAACCCCACTAAAATGACTTTTTAAAAAAATCCTCACACGAGGACATTTTTCCATTTTATCTTCAGATAGAGTAGGAGAGAGAGAGAGAGAGAGAGAGAGAGAAACATCGATGTGAGACAGACACATCGACTGATTGCCTCTGGCATGACCCCAACCAGGGCTGTGGACCAATCACAACAGAGGTACGTGCCCTTGACCGGAATCAAACCCAAGACTCTTCGGTCTGCAGGCCAACACTCTAACCGCTGAGCAAAACTGGCCAGGCCTAAAATGACTTTTAAAAAGCCATGTACTACAAGAGCAAAGAGAAAGGGAGAAGAAATAATAGTAGGATTTGGGAAGCATAGGTGTGAATAGGAACTGACTTGGCAGCCCCAAAACTCTGGATCTGAAGCCAACAGAGTCAAGGTGTAACTCGGTTTGCACTGTGGGACTCAAAAGGCTCAGGAGTTAGTGACAACAAGTACCTCTGGACATGGGGATAAAGGTGGGGTATGTTTAAGAAGGATTAGAAGATAGTAAAATAAAGGGACCCTTCATTAATCAGAGTTGAGGGTTTGGATTTCCTACTGAAAAGAGGGGAGCTTACACCACAGAATACTGAGACCCTCAGTCGTCTACTTATCTGAAGAATCCAGACATCTAGAAAAGTATGCTCCAGGCAGGAGACTGGAAGAATTTCCTCTGGAGTATGTGACCAGGAGGAGAGAAAAGATTTTAAGTTTCTGACATGGGGTTCCCCAAGGAAATCTACCAGACAGATCTGCCTACATGTGCATACATGATCAGACAGCCAAGATGACCAGACGTTTGAGGAAAATCTTAAACTGAAACAGAAAAAAGTAAACAACAACAAAAAAGCAACCTACTGAAATTAGAATATGCTGGAGTGGGGGTTGGAACTTCCAAAGAACTATCATTAATATCCTTAAAGACACAGGAAACATTACAACCATAACAAAATGCAACATTATAAAAAAGGAACATTCAAAGGCCCCCACCCTCCCTCCAAAAAGGAAGATGAAAGTTCATCAAATGTATCAGAAAAGAGGAAAGAAAGAAGAGGACTGAGTTAAGAAAATTAGAGGATTTGTCCAGGAGGTCCAATTCATAATGAGTGGTGCTAGAGAGAACATAAAAAAATTGAGGATAAGAGATTGCAACTAGTCTGGCCGGTGTGGCTCAGGGGTTGAGAGTCTACCCATGCACCAGGAGGTTGTTGGTTCTATTCCCGGTCAGGACACATGCCCAGGTTGTGGGCCTGATCCCCAGTGGGGGTCATGTAGGAGGCAGCCAATCGATGTTCTCTCTCATCAATATTTCTATCTCTCTCTCCCTCTCACTTCGCCTCTCTCTAAAATCAATGAAGGGAAAAAAAATTTTTTTTAAAGAGACAGATTGTAACTAAATTAACTCAAGATAATTTTTTAAGAACTGAAGGACACAAGTTTGCAAAATGGAAGAGCCCACATGTCCAGAACAAATGCGTGAAAAACAGGCTCACACCAAAGCACATGAGACGTTTCATTCCAGAAGATTAAGAATCAAATTATAATGGATTTCTCAGCAATAATATCAGAAGCTATAATACAATGAAGTAATACATTCAAATTTCAGAGGGAAAATTATGTCCAATATAGAATTTTATATCTAGCCAAACTATCCATAAAGTATGAAGACAGATTTTCAGATCTGCAGATCTTAGAAAATATACTCCCCATATTTCTTTCTTAGTAAATTAGTAGAGATGTGGTGAGCTCTATTTGAAAAAAAAAAAATTTTTTTTTAAGAGTAAGAAAACACTGGATTCAAGGAACAGGTGATCCAACACCAGAGAGCTGAAGGAATTCTGCAGAATGATGACAAAGAGATTCCAAGATAACTGAAATACAGCAGGCCCCAGAAATCAACCAGTCCAGCCTCCAGTCTTCAAGAAAAGACTACTACTGGACAGTACTAACATGTGTGGGAAACCGTAGGGGTAAAATAAGCGAAATTTAAAAAGGTACTTATTCATAGGGATAAAAAAGGAGAAGTGGTCAAGACATAGAACACGGCTTATCTGAGAACTGTGTGTGTGTATAATAATCTGAACACTGATTAGTGATCTAACTAAATATCAATGTACTGTAATCAATTTCAGAGTTGGGCTGGGAGAGGAAGGGTCCAGAAGTATATGGGTGTGATGATGATGGGGGTGAAAGACAATTAAATCTTCATCTTTCAGAGTGGGAGGTCAATAGATTATGTTTAAAATAGGGGGGACATTTTAGGTAGCAATTTAAACCTGATGTATGACGATAAATATCAAAAGAACCAGCTAAATATGTTGAAAGTGGTTTTCCGGGAAGTAGGAGAAGGAGGTGGGGGATTTGGTCAAGGAGCTGCTGTTTTTCCATAAAAGCTTATAAAATATTCTTTAAACTATATGCATGGAAAACTGATTTTTTTTTTTTTAGTACTCACCCAAGGACATTTTTTGATATTTTGTTCAGATAGAGTGGGAGGGAGAGAGAGAGAGAGAGAAACATTGACGTGAAAGGGACACATTGAGTGGTTGCCACCCACATGACCCAACCAGGGCCGGGGACAAACTGCAACTGAGGTACATACCCTTAGCGGGAACCGAACTCCGGACCGCAGGCCAATGCTCTAACAGCTGAGCCAAACTGGTCAGGGTGCAAAACTGATTTTTAAAGAGGAACTTAGTGGTGATAAAAAAAAATAAAACAAACAATATTGGTATTTGTTGCAAATTACCAAACCTAATTGGTGCACAGACACTGTTGCCAGATAAGTAAATAAGTGGATTATGAGCCACTTGGTGCAGGGTTGAAGGAGAGCCTTTATCACACCTCTCACACACACTTCAGCAGCATCTTGACCTACATTTGACTTAAAGCCTATCTTAATTTTCTAGGGCAAATTTTCCATCTTGGGCTGACTTTTCCCTGCTACTTCTTGATTTTTCTGGGCCACACTTACCATCTCCAAATTGGTTGTCAGTTTAAGTTTGCTTAGAAAACACAAAAACGTGACTTATTAATCTTGGTAAACAAAGAAAGAAAGACAAAGTTACTGTCCCCCTGCCCACATATCATCCCAAATTGTTCAAAATGAATTTTAGATTATGTATACCCCTGTTTCTCACTAGAGAAATGAAAATGATTAAAGATTTACTTATTTATTTGAGAAAAAAAGACATGGAATGTATTTTCATCATATTCTATATAGTGTGTAAATCAAGCCAAGTTGTTCACATATCACTGGTTTATTGCTAGGTTTCAGTCCTGCCTTAACTAGGGAGAATCATCATTTGATATCCACAAAGAGAACATTAATGTCGGCAACTAATCACTGACTTGCCAGTTGTTAAGTAGTGAGGGAAGCACAAAGCAGAATTTTAATCCAATTGAGAAAGGGACCCTTTACTAGTGAAACATCCATCTCAAAGCAGGCCTGACACCCTGGCTGGTTTGGTTCAGTGGTTAGAGCTTTGGCCCGTGGACCAGAGAGTCCCGGATTCAGTTCCTGCTAATGGCACGTACCTTAGTTGTGGTTTGTCCCCAGCCCCAGTTGGGGTTGTGCGGGTGGCAACCACTCGATGTGTCTCTCTCATGTTGATGTTTCTCTCTCTCTCTTCCCCTCTCTCCCTCCCACTCTATATGGAGATAAATGCAAAAATGTCCTCGGGTGAGGATTAAAAACAAAAAAAAGCAGGCCTGACTTTCTAGCTGCCATCTGAAGAGCTATGCCTCGTAGCCTCCAGCCATAAAGCTTTAATTATTTTGAAAGCAGGAATATATATAAAAGATCAGGGTATATAATTAGCAAGTTCCTAAGTGTATACTTTTTAAATTATTTATTTATTTATTTTAGATATGTTTTGATTTTTTAGGGAGAGAGAGAAACAGCTATGTGAAAGAGAAACATTTATCAGCCACCTCCTGCATGCCCCCTCCTGGGGATCGAGCCTGCAATCCGGGAATGTGCCCTGACTGGAAAATGAACTGGGACCTCTCAGTCCACAGGACGATGCTCAATCCACTGAGCCTGATGGGCCAGGCTACACTTTTTATTTTTTTAACCCTCACCCAAGGATATTTTTCCATTGATTTTTAGATAGAGTTGGGGGGAGGGCATCGATATGAGAGAGACATTGATTGGCTGCCTCCTACATGACACCCTGCCTGGGGCTGGGGATCAAACCAGAAACTGAGGTATATGCCCTTGATCAGGAATTGAACCTGTGATTCTTCAGTTTTCGGGCCAATATTCCAACCACTGAGCCAAACCAGATAGAGCTGTTTATACTTTGTTGTTGTTGTTGTTAATCCTCACCTGAAGATATTTTTCCATTGCTTTTTAGAGAGAGGCTGGGGATCGAACTGGCAACCTGGGCATGTGCCCTTGACCGAGAATCGAACCCACGACCCTTTGATGCACAGACTGATGCTCTAACCACTGAATCACAC